TGATGATGATGATGATGATGGCATTGATGATGGTAGTAACATGCCAATTTAAATGATTAAGATATAAACACTATCTCAAATTCAAATAACTGCAAGTTATTTGTCATTATTAATAGCAATTTATCAACAAAATTGAATGATTAAATATACTATTATTTTTTTATAATTCTGTTTTTGGTGATGAAGAAGAGAATCATTAACTTCCTCTCCAGATTTTTTTGGCATCTATTTGGCACGCTGAGATAGATATGGATGTACCACTAAGCTTGAAAAGTGTAAGTAAAGAAAGCAAAGCAAAAGAATGCAGCAGTTAACCTTGTAACTCCTAAGAGATCTGATCGTTAATTCTCCCCTCTAGCTGCGATACATTTCCTTGTTAATTTGTTACTTGAATTTGGAGTTTAATCAAGGTAACAACCTCTACCTGATAAGTTAAGGTATTCTCATTACCTATTTGCTGGATAATGTGTGAATATTTAAGGGAGAAGATACATGTTTATCACTTCTGGGAAATAAGGGTCAAGATGCTAACAAGATGTGATGGATCGCTTGAGATGTAGGTTTAATTTTTTGTTTTTTTTTTTGCTTTTGCTTATTTATGCCAACATTGTGAAAAACAAACAAACATGATTGTGTGCGCCACTTCTATGCTGTAATAGCCCTTTTGAAAAGAGAGGCTAATGTTAAAGGTTTCTTAAAATATGAAGTTCAGTTCCATTTGGATGTGATCATAAAGAACTATTTTCTCATTGAAATCTCCATCATTGACCTCAATGTCAAACAAAAGCTTTAAGAATCTTAGAAATGGCTGACTAGCTATAGCTTTGTGATGCATTTTGGTCTGGAATAGGCTGGGGAACAAAATTAATATATCATTAATAGCAATTAATGTATTTGAAGAAAAGATTATGGATTGAATTATTTATGTTTGTACATTACTTTGCAAAAGATTGAGAAATCTACAACATTTGAAATACACAAAAAAAAATTTTCAAAGACATGTTTCAACATGGCTTGTGTCATCTTGGTCATGGCTTAAATATACCTAAGCTTCAAATCTGAAAATAAACTTGGATACAATGGGATTACAATATTTCTAGCTATTGATAGGATTTTCTGAAGCAGTTTGTGTTTCATTTTCTTGTCTCTTCTATAAACAAAATTAATGAAGAGGGAAACATAAATTCATTAAAACCTCGTTTTGTATACTGTTTTTCGAAGGAAATTGGAATAAAAGCAGATGTATGCAATTATAATGAAACAAAAGATCACACAGATGGGTGGTATTAATTTCACATTGTTTATATCTGTTTTTGTCTTTATAGCTTGTCTATATATATACTGGTACTTTGTAGTATCAATTCTTTGCCAAATGAAAGATGGTGTAGGAGACGTGTCTTAACAAAGTTTTTCTTCTTTTTAGATGTCTTTTTATTATTTTGTTTGCTAATATGTACACTTTTGTACATAGGATGATCACTTGTATTATTTTTATTATTAGTAGTGGTTTCAAAAAATTGAGACTTGAAAATGTGTATTTGTCATCCAGAGGCCAACAAATGAGCAAAAGGCCATCTTCTAACAATAATTTAGGATTTTCTAATTATCATATGAAGTCAATAAATCTAATCACAAGTGTAGTTTGCTTTTACCAAAAAAAAATTTCCTAATGGTACTTAAAGTATGTAGTTTGTAACCTCCATGATTTTTGAAGTAATTATCTTACATGATGTAGTACTGATGTCTTTAGTTAGAAGTTAAAAGTGAATCTTACCTACGAGCTGGCACTTAGAGGTAAATTGAAACACAATGTGGAATCTTTGTCTTAAAACTGCAAGGAAGGATGATTACAAATAATTTTTTATTATTGTTTGATATTCAAATAAACTTATTTTCTATTTACTTCTTTGTCAAACCAATAGAAAATTAAAGAATAATTAACTTTGAAAATGTGTTGTTGATATTTATTTCTGTTCCTGAAAATTCTTAAATTCACATACTTTCTTTTGTTTTTTTTCACTATGTGAAACCAGAGATGTCGTGGAGATTTTGATTCTGTACATGGGGAAAGTTTAAATCAATACATCAGGCCCCGGTTGTTCAAAGGATGGATGACGCTATACAGTGGATAAATCTCTATCCGGTGGATAGCACAGTACGTTTTGGCAACACTTATCCGCTGGATAGCAATTTATCCGTTGGATAGCATTATCTGCTCTTTGAACAACTGGAGCCAGGACTCTTAAACATTCTCTGCTTTTTTTATCAATGTTTTTAGCTAATAATCCCTGTCAAGCTCCTGTTAGTGGCATGATGAGCTTTGCCTGGCCGAAGAGTTCTAATTCTTAATTAATGGTCACAAGAAATGGGAAATCAAAAGATACTAACAAAAATTGCTACAGAAATTTGCATTCCTTCAATTTTGCAAGGTTTAGTGCCATCATGACTTTAAAGTTATAAGGACAGTGGAAGAGTTTCCAATTTGTGTCAACCATTACAACCTCGTAGGTGAGAGGTTACACTGCCAAGCAATATTCGAAATGGTGACATCCATCATCAAATATTTTCCACGTTTACAAAACCATCTCCCAAGTTACTCTTAGGAATCTCAATCCGTGGTTGAGTATTGCAACTTGACACATACTTTTTATTAGTCGAGATGAAAAGTACAGTCACATAGATTAGTAACACAGGGTTAAATTTTAATTCAGGTTTCTATATTTCTCTGTTGAAAAGCTGTTTTGGCATAATTTTCCCAATTCTTCTTAGAGCATTCAATCATATTGTAGACAAATGGAATTAAACTGAATTTTCTTTTAAAGCTTTCAGATTTGAAATCAATTTTCACACTAACTGTGGGTTATCAAAACGCTGGAAACAACAA